CACTTATTGTGTACATACATGTTTTTACATTGTACTTATATTTGAAAAATATCTGCATGTAATTATATCTGTAATTACATTTATAATTACACTGTTGACCCATCCCTTACACCTTAACCCACCCTTAAACCTACCCATACCAATAAACCTGTCCCTAACCTTACCCGTATCCCACCTCAATAGCAGCAAAAGTGTTTTGCAATACAATATGAACACAATTAGTACATTGTACTTATTTTTTGATGTAAGTACATAGTAGTTAAGGCCACTTAATATAAAGTGGGACCGCCTTTTATATATTTTGTCATTTTGTAGTAAAATAAATTTAGTTTGTTTACCAGCTTACAGGGATATTTCATAGTAAAAAAACAACAAAAAACAGGTTAACATCTAATATTATAATACAACATGATTTTATATAATAAAAAGTTATTTCCATTAAAATATATATTTAAGTTTTTATCTTAGATAAAAAAAATAATCTGGACTTTCATAGGTTTCAGTTGACTAAAACAACTTGTCAAATTTAATTAAATGCTGCAGTTTATCATTCTCAAAGCATTGAAGTGTTTGCATTTTTTTTATGTAAACGTGTAAGTGGCATCACTTTCTAAAATATTTGCACGAGGTCAAAAAAAAAAAAGCCCACTACATTTTCCAATTTTTTTATACCTGTGATTTCATTTTACAAGTTTATTTGCTAACTTTATTCACATTACAGAAAACAGTCTGACTAACTTACCACACTGGCACCCATGCTGGTCTGTCCGCTGCCCAGCCATGGCATGGAGGATGATGCTGCCATTTGTTGGGGGGCAAAGGGACCGGCACTAGCCTGGGCGATGTTGGTGTGAGACGAGCGGTAATCCACATCATCAGAGCTACACAGAGAAAACAAGGAATTTCATAGCAATCAAATCTGTCAGCTGACTGATTCAAACACACACAGACAGGTGACAAACCTGCGAGACTCCTTGTCAAATTCCTCTCCGATCCAGGTGTAAGGCTGAGCTGCGAGCAGTGAGGACACGTCCACTTCCTGGACATCATGAGTAGACGCCAGCACTATTTCATTAGTGTTAGCCTTAGAGAATGAACACAAACACAAATTAAAAAGGATGTTAAAACATTATTATTATTATTATTTTGAAATAAAGAGTTTACTGCAGTATGTAGAATTTAAAAGAACATTGCATTGTTGACAGAAAAAAGTCACATCTGTGTATAAGTCGCATTTTAATACATTCAGAAACAAATGTAAAACAATAAATGCAGTATTGTTTTAAAATCTTGCATTTCATTAAATTTATTACAATGTACAAAACAATCATTCTGGACACTTCAACTAGTACCACAGGCCTACTATTAACACTGAAGTCCTCCGGTTTCATTTTACAGTAAATACAGTCGATAATTGAAGCTGATAGCAGTTGCGTTTGATTAAAACTAATGTGATATGAGATGTGAAAGAAGCGCTGGCCTCAAATACCCGGATGAGCTGTAGGATATCAGAGCGAATCAGACAATTTAAGATTTGATCAGAACAGTGTTGAAACAACACAAAGAGCCAAATTCCACAAAGAGGCCCCGAACAACATGGACGGCCGTCAATCAGATACCCTGGGGAGCCAGCAAACCTAACTAGCAGATTTAAACAGCTTGCAGCATTAAAACAAAAGAACACATTGATAATTCCAACTCAGGAAGGAGATTGTCAAATTTGGGGCGAGTAATCCAAAATTAATGGTCGAAGAGACAACACATCATGACCATCACAAGTAAAACCATGAGGAAAATCATGAGTTAAGACTTCCCGGGACTGGTTTTCCCTCACTCAGGACAGAGACCGGACTTAGAATCCTTCTAGATCTTTTGTTGCTCACAGAACACATCCTCACACTCACAGAACGGCACAGAGACTGTCTTTTACATATATAAATGCATCTAAATGATGCTAAAATGACTTCTAAACGAATATCAGTCCCTTGCATAACTCCATATCATGTATGTAACCCACACATTTGACTATTATGTTCTAATAACTCATATATGTCCTTTGAATAACTATCATATTCGAGTTTGGGATGTGTGTGTTTGAAAATTTTTCCTTAAAACTTTTCTATCAGTTAATTCTTTGTAAACTGTATCATATTCTTGTTATTGAAATCATGTTTAAATTATACTCCGCAAGAGCGGGAAAATTCAGACCATGAATTTTCAAGATAACAAGATAACACGTTGATGTATGTATGAGGAGGAGAAACATAGCAATACCCTAAGTGAAAAGTGAAAGTGACATGACATGTGGCCAAGTATGACCCTACTCGGAATTAGTGCTCTGCATTTATCCCATCCAAAGCGCACACTTTCCACGACTTTTTGCCACTGCTTTTGCTTTTAAGCTTTGCGTTCTTCAAGCGCTCTATCAGCGGGCTTCCTGGCCTGCTTACCTGCTGCTGCTCCTCTACTATCATGAGGAGATAAAGCCATCTAGTCTCATCACACCCTTCTTTCTTTCTTTTTTACTTTAGTTTCTTTTCTTTTCCGTTGATAGTTCCGTGTTCTGAGTTAAGTTTTGCCATAAAGACATGTCTCCGAATCCGACCTCGTCTGTGCCTGCCACCAAAACTTCAACCAGCCCAAGACTCCGCACCCATCCTTCAGCCAACGCCCAACGGTTGGCTTCCCCAAGACGTCACTCCGGACGCTACTAGACCTCCAGCGAATCAACAACCTGGGAAACCCCACACGACAACAAAGGGAATCTCCTAACACAGGCAATGCCTCCAGATTCTAAACTGGTGCATTTTAATATAAAGTCTCATAGCCTCATTGAAAACTCAATGTGAGGGCTAATTAAATGATTGATGGTTGTTCAGGTCTAAGCAATTGCACATATTGCTAAAAACTGGGGATTTCACGTTCATTCTCTTACAACTTCTTCCCTCACTTTCTCTGTTTCTGCAACTTGTGTGAATGTGTGAGTGCATGTGTTTATGTGTTAGATTAGTTTATGTCTTAGAATTGTCCAACAAAGTCTTGTTTGTATTGAAAAGTGCAGTATCTTGTTTTTTTGTGCTTACAAGTTAATGTCTTAAACTGCCAATCTAGTTACCATGTGTGTTATCACTATACTTTGGATATTCATATCCGTTGCAGAGTTGATGTTATATGGCCCGTTCAGTGTACCGCTGGCCGATTCAGTTGATCAGCCATAGAACAGTGACTGTCAAAATTCCCTATAAAAATTAAAATTAATTCCATTTGAGCTAAATTTAACTGTTTCCCTTACAGACCGGTTTGTTATTTGGCATTGCTACTGATTACGGTTGTTATCAGGTAATAACACACCTCAGAATGTCGCGACTGACCAATCAGAATCAATTATTTCAGAGAGCTGTGCATTCAAATATATTAGGTATATTATATATTTCCACTGTAGTTGAGTTACAGGCACTTGGAGCATTTGAAGTCCTCCACATGTGGTTTGCTGTATTAGCAATTATTCAATGAACTAATTGACTATGGAAACTGACTTCAAACCATAAGGCCATTAACAGAGCCACTCTCTCTATAATAGAACTAGAGATAGAAATGGCCTTACCTTGTTAATGGCAAACGCCATGATGATGTCAGATTCTTTATGGATGATTTTGGCTTTGCCTCCCGGGTAACCCATATCAGCCTCCACCTGTAACACAACACGCATACACAAATACACACTCGTATTAGTCTGTTCTGCTGCTGTTTTTAAAATAAGCACCCAATCACATCCACACACACAGCAGCAATAGCAGGAAGTTTGCTAACATGCATTTGAGACCATGTACACACCTCCTTAGAGGGCAAAACATGAATTAGTTATTACTTGATCTTCTAAACATGGTGTCAGAAGCAGAATCCAGTCTGATTGGTTAACCGCTTTCAGTGACGTTGGCGGTGAGTGAGGAAGAGCAGTGCCGAGCCAGACGAGTTAGTGGATGTGAGGAAAGAAACAGACGTGTGTGTGTGTGTGTGTATGTGAGGTCACAGCAGGTTAACAGAGGATAGAAGCCCAAAGCTTTAAGAGGGTTTCACAGAGAGACGAGTCCCATTCTGAGACTCAGTACCTTGTTGGTTTTTCGAGCTCCAGTAACGTAGTTTTGTATGAAGTGGTCCACATGATCATCTAAAGACTACACAATACACACCACAACACACACATACATTAACAAACACACACGAGGCACAGCACAAAACACATGCACGAGTGACAAACAGATGGAGAAAAACAAATTAAATAATAAAGACAAAAAAAAAAATCTAATTTGGAGCTCTGACAGAGAGAGATGGTCTTGAGATAACATGCATATTCCCTCCAGCATCTGTGTCACTACTTACCCTCAACATATAAAGATGGCTACTTACCACAGTTCTGTATTTATTTGATACAAATCTTGATTCAAAAAACAAGCTGCTTCTCTTGAAGTTTCTCCAATTCTTTAATACCAATTTAAAACTTCTTAAAAACTAGGGTCTTTTAAATTATTTTATGCTGGACCCACCCCTTTTAATTGCTGCAGTTGGGCTCCGCCTATTCAATGCCTTCACTCAGGCCCCGCCCACTGTATTACCTCTCATCTGGTTCAAAGCTGGTCACACACATTTGCCATAATGACCCACAGACGGCTGCTTGGTTCGATGGCTGTACTTAATACATCATGACACTATTTAGACAATGGACAACGGACCTTTTTGCCTGCAGAATTTTGCTAACGTGACTACACTTTATTTCTAGCCCCAACCCTTTTGAATGCATCATAATGGCTCCACCCCTTGTCTTCCCTCACTGTTGCTTTGTCCGCACCTCTTTAATTACCTCACTCTGGCTCTTCCCATTCCATACCAAACTCTGGTCCTGTCCCATATGTCTTTACTCTAGCACTGCTCCCGCCCCTTTTGCTACCTAACTCTGGCCACTCCCCATTTGTTACTTACCTCACTCCACCTACCTCATTCTACACCATGTCCCGCCCATTTAACTACCTAGACTGCATCCGAAATCACATACTTCCCTACAGTAGGCAAAAAACAGTATATGAAACAAGTAGTACATCCGAATTCACAGTATTCATAAAACAGTGGGCGAAAAGTACCCGGATGACTTAAAGGGATAGTTCACCCAAAAATTAAAATTCTGTCATTAATTACTCACCCTTATGTCGTTTCAAACCCGTAAGAGTTTCGTTCATCTTCGGAACACAAATTAAGATATTTTTAATGGAATCTGAGGGCTGTCTGAACCTGCATAGACAGCAATACAACTGAAATGTTCCCAAGTCCAGAGACGTAGCAAGGAGATCGGTAAAATATATACCTGCAAACTCACAAGAGGTCAAAAAGGTTACATAGTTCGTAATATGACCCTTGTAGGGGGGTCTGGGGGCATCCCCCCCCCATGAAGAAAATTTTTGAGAATTTAGCATGTCAATGAAGCATTCTGGTGCACTCTGACAACAAAATAAAAGAAAAAGACAACATATGCTTCAAGTAAAAAAAACACATTTATACCACAAATTTTATGGACAGTGCAACATGCTCACATTAGAGAGCGCATTCTATCAACAAACTCCATCTCTTCACTGCAGAGGAAACAGAAGCTGCATCTGAAGTGGCATTAGATGTATTTACACAGACTGTTTAATGAAGCTAAGGTGCCATAAATGCATTTACACCACAAAATTTCAAATGCTAATTTTATAAGATTAATGTTTTAAATATTTTTGAACATACAAGTTAAACATGTTGGGAAAAATGCAATCCTTTTAAATATGAAACCAAACCACCAGTAGATGACGGTAAATTACATAAATGTTTTAATGAGCGAGTCATTAGTCATTCATTCAAACGGCTGATTCATTCAAAAACGAGGCAAGTGACTACTGTCTTTATGAATGGGTTACTGAATCATTGACTCACTTGATTCATTCAAAAACGTGGATTCATTCAGTATCGAAACACTGCAGTGTTGCTCGGAGACACGAAACAGTTCTGCTGTGGCTTTGATTGAAACTTCGTCAGCGAACTTGAGCAAAAACAGTCAATAGACATGTGCCCCCCCAAGTTTGTCTAATTTCACTCGCGCCCCCCCAACAACGTATTTTTTTATTATTAGTATTTTTTTTAATCGTAATTTATTATTATTTTTTTTGTACACAAAAAGTATTCTCATAGCTTCGTAAAATTACGGTTGAACCCCTGATGTCACATGGATTATTTTACCAATCTCCTTGCTACGTTTCTGGACTTGGGAATATTTCAGTTGCGTTGCTGTCTATTCAGGGTCAGAAAGCTTCCGGTGAGATTCTGAAGTTCACACCTGATGGATCTCATGACGCCATGAGAGAGGATTTTTGAATGGCAGTAACTGACGTTGGGTGGTCACATGACTATGACAGTATGTCCAGTTTATATTCATACTACTCATATTCATATTACATAGACCATACTTTCTGTTATTCAAAAGAAGTACCTACTCAGGGAGCATGCGATTTCGAGTGATTTGGTATACCTCACTCTGTGACTGGCCCTGCCTCTTTAAAAATCTCTCCCGCCACATTTATTCTGTCAGTGTCTGGTCCCACCCACTGCGTTCTGTAGTTACCTCACTCTGCTTCCTTTTCTTTGTGAAGATGTATCGAATCAAAGTCTCTTGGAGAACCTCCTGCTTGACTAGAAAATGCCACAGACGGCGAGCAGGGAAGGAGAGGTGGTGCTTTGACCTGAAGAGAAAAAAAACAAAACAAAACAAAACAGAACAGAACAAAACAAAACACATGAACAGTTGTTTACACGTACATAATTCTTTAAAAATTCAGTTATTCTTTGGTTTAATTGTAATTCTTGGGATTAATTGAGACATCCGGAGCAAGTACACACTTGAACGGTGTGTTATCTGGTTCTAGCATGGCTTTGTGTCTGAGTATAGCCGGTCCCCCGCCAGCACTCAGGTCCGTGGGGTAGGTGTTGATGTAGTTTGGTGGAGGGCTGTCAAATTTGTTCATTTTTTCCAGGAGAATCTGTTCCCAGTTTTCCAGTGTCTTCAGCGCAGCATTGGTCAGGGGAGTCGTCACTGGCAACTCTAAGACAACACAAAGAGGCACAGGAAATGGAAGTGAATTATTTAGTTTACTTTCTGACAGTTGGAGCATGTCAGAGTACATTTCTACTACTCATGCACCTGTGAAGTCCAGTCCTGTCAGGGGCAGGAACGTCTTAACATTGTGCAGGGAAAGTTTGACCATCACAAGGCGGATCAGAGACCAACTGCAAAGACACAAACACACATAAACATCCTTCAGTCTACTCTACACACTGATATGATACAAGAAACACATGTATTCTGGTGCACACAGGACCAATGTCTTTAACTAAACACCAAAATGATTATATTTTAATATAATTTAAAAAGTAGTTTCAGCAGCAAGTTTAAAAACAATAACCTCATTCAAGAAATACAAGCAGAATGCATTGCTGCGCAAATTGTTCATAAAAAAACATTACGATAAATACAGCAATATACATAAAAATAACTTCACAAACAATTTACATACATTTTCAGAATGGAAGTTTTCATAAAGGTTGTTTTAACATTTCAATTAATTTTTGCATTGTATGGCACTTAATTTATATTTCAGTTAACAGAATGAATCACAATAAGAGTTCCTCATCTTAGTTTTACTTCTTGAAGCCTCTGTAACAATCCTTCTTAATTGTGTTATGTGTTATATTTCACCTGTAGGAGTTTGGATTGGAGTGTTCTGTCATCTGTGTGTCTGAGAGGAAGGCATCATCATCATCATCATCCTCATTGTCACTACCACCGCTCTCATCTGAATCATACAGTGCCCCGCTGTCAGAGAGAGGAAGGAAAGGCTGGAGGAAACACACACACATTCACACAGACAGAAAGCAATGAGACAGACACTCTGATAACTGCTTTTCTGATTTATAAACTGATGCAAATGTTCCAAACACATCTCTATGATGCACTTAGAACAAAAAAGTAACTTATGTCTTTGTATATACAGTGCATGTATTTTTTTTTTTATAAATCAGTTTATCCTGTGTAAATAAGCAGTAGACACAGTCTCACTTTGGCCACAAAGTAATCCCACATGCTGAGCTCAGGTGGAATGAATTTCTCCTTATAGGTGGGCCGCTCTACAGGGATGGGCGGAGGTGTGGCTGGAGTCTCTTTAACGGGACGTCCAGGAACAAGCATGCGCATGTTAAACCTGCGTCGCTGTCGGTCCACGTCCTCAGCAGGAGGGGTTGGAGGAGGTACTGCTGGAGAAGAGAGAGAAACAGGCAGTTAGAGACACATACCTATATATCAAAAAAAGAAGAAAGAGGTATGTTTGGAATGTCATTCTATCTACTACTTCAGGAAAATAAAGTAGTATGCAGTATGTGTACTGCGCAGAGTGCTGAATCCCACAATGCAATGCACTCAATTCGACCTGATTCCAGTTTCACAAATGAATCTCCACTGCAACTTTTCACTGCAATCTCTGTCTTGACCAAATCTGATTAAAAATGCTAAATGATAAGAGTTTTTATTTTCAAGATGACAGGTGGCCGCTATTTGCTGACTCCTAGCAGCAAGTATAAACTGTGTCGTATGTTGTAAGCATTATGTTACTACTCCATTGCAAACACAGCCAGAGAGGTAACATATTTTAAAAACGTGAAAGTCATGCCAATAAACCGACAGACAAGTCCAGTATCTCATCTCTTCAGGTGTTTGCTGTTCAAAGAGTCTTTCTATCTCTGTGTTGATGTGTTTTCTTTTGAGCTGAAGGTTGTCTCAATAGCATTTGAAGCATGTTTTGATTCTGAAAGTGTGGAATGTTTATCTCCAATTTAAGGGAGGACACATCTGAAGAGAAGAACCACACCAAACCACCATATCCTGTGTGACATGGCAGATCGCTGTGGCTGCCTCAGTTCAAGCAGTAGCACTCAGCGCACATAAACCCATCATCTCTTCCTCTTTACTACTATATACGGCAAGAAATAAACATGAATTAACATCATAAGGTATGCTGAAGTAAATAGTACAACTAACTGAAAGTTATACTGCACATAGTCTCATGTAATCACTTAATCATCAAACAACTTGTAAACAATTTCATGTAATGTTACATTTACCTCAGGAAAGCCATTCAATATTCATAGCTTGTTAGTCAGCAAAAGAAAAGTTAGTATATTGAATAAACTATTTTCACTTACAGCTAATTTTGGTTTTAGTAAAAAAAAAAAAAAAATTAAAATAAAGCAAGCATAATAAAATTGGTTCCACTATAAAGGTCTCATCAGTTCAGACAGAAAGAGAACAGAACAAACTCTGAATGTTGACCTCAGACAGCTGGTGAGCACCTGAGCCTGCATCCCTACACTTTAGTATCTGAACAGTTGATGAGCACCATTGCCTTCCACAGTATTTTTTTTTTCCTACTGTGGAAGTCATTGGTGCCCATCAACTGTTCGGATACTAACATTTTTCAAAATATCTTTTGTGTTTAACAGAAGAAAGAAACTCATACAGGTTTGGAACAAGTGGAGGGTGAGTAAATGATGACAGAATTTTCATTCTGGCAGTGAACTTCTCCTTTAACTCTAGTCTAGATGTATGTGCGTATCTCTCTCTCTCTCTCTCTCTGTGTGTGTGTGTGTGTGTGTGTGTG